AAACCAAGTTTTACTTTTTTTCTGGCTGGTCATACACACTTCATACAAACTAAAGGCAACACACACCTCTGATGTTGCTGTTTGCCATTCATCATGTCTTCCTCTTTTTCCTTTTTGAGCCATTTGTATAGAGCTATTTTTGAATGTCAGATCACCAGACCCGTGTTGGTCAGGTAAAAAAGGGTCTAATTTTTAAAAGCGTCTGGGATGTCAGTGCTTACATGATCTGACATCAAAGTCACAGTAGTAGGATTTAGATTTGCACATTTAAATGAAAGCCATTATCTGTCTTAAACCCAGACTCTGATATACGAACTGTTATACGAACACTTACTAGCTCTGTATGTGTGTGTATGTTTGTACACATCAGACAGAGAGCTTGTAATCTCCAACTGCTTCCACTTGAAAATTACTGAACAAATGGCACAGACAAAACAAACAATAAGAGGATGTGGGGAGAGAGTTAGTGGCAAGCTCTTTTTTATGAAGCTCAGCACTATGCAGAACTGACAGACAAAGAAAGCACAGAAAGGGAAATGTGTGTTTGATTGATGCCTGGAGTCTGGACCCTTAAGTTTGATACACACACACATACAGAAAGACATATAATGCAGCTAGAGGTTATTCGATTTGATAGTGACAATGCTGCAGCGCTTGTAGGTCATTTATAAAACTCATGCACACACACAAAACACATGCATGCACCAACTGGCTAGTCTATTTCTGCTTTTAATGGCGGGGTAATTGTGTTGTCTCCTGGATACATCTCCATACAAAGTGCATTAGGTGAGCAGCATGTCATGTATTAAGATTGTGTCTGTGGAAACCAGCTGAGATCAGCTGTTTGAAAGAAGTTTAGCATGTCGGACAAGATTAGATCTGTCAGGTTCCCTGCTGTGACAATCTTTTTGTAGGCTAGAAATATTGTCCAGACAATACATACTAGCCTGTTTACTTGTTTGAATAGTTTATTTTATTTTCATTATTATTGTTTGATACTAGTGGCATATATTTTGAAAGTTTGAGATCAATATGAGTTTTAAAAATACTTTTATTCAGCAAGGATGCATTAAATTGATCAAAAACAGTGACAGAAAAGACATATATATATTGTTACAAAAGATTTCTGTTTCAAATAAATGCTGTTCTTTTGAACTTTCCATTCATTAAAGATTCCTGATGGTTTCATTATTTCATGGTTTCTACTAGTGCTGTGAAACGATTAATCGCGATTAATCGCATCTAAAATAAAAGTTTTTCTTTACATAATATACAGTATGTGTGTATACTGTGTATATTTATTATGTATATATAAATAGAAACACATGCATGTATATATTTAAGAAAAATATGTTATGTTTATATATTAAATATATTTATATATAATATAAAATATAAGAATATAAATATATAAATGTATATACATGTAAATACTTTCAAAATATATACTGTATGTGTGTGTATTTATATATACATAATAAATATACACAGTACACATATATTATGTAAACAAAACTTAATTTTTTGGATGTGATTAATCGTGATTAATCGCGATTAATCGTTGGACAGCACTAGTTTTTACATAAATATTGTGCGGCACAGCACAGATGATAATAGAAAATACTTCAAGCAGCAAATGATTTGTGATTTTTGATCATTTCTGAAGGATCATGTGACACTGAAAACTGGAGTAATGATGCTGAAAATTCAGCTTTACATAGCAGGAATAAATTACATTTTAAAATATAGTCAAATAGAAAACAGTTATTTTAAATTGTAATAATATTTCACAATATTACTGTATTTTTGATCAACTTTTTCAGGTTTCAAATTTTGAACTTACTGACCCCAAACTTAATAAAAAAGTATTTTAAAACCTTAAACAGGAGCTATAAGATTTATAATCAGCTGAAAGTGTGTTTGTGGCACAGATATCTCTAACAACTGTATGAATAGCTTTTTCTCACAGAGAGCTTGTATTGATCTACAGTTCTATTTCAGTTGTGTCATGCAGCTCCCATCCACTTGTGTTTCCCAGGACTGAGGTTAACTGAATTTGATTTGCAATGCTACTGATTATGCTAAAAAAAAAATCCATATTATTGAATCAAGCCATTCAATACAATACATTCATTTTTTTAATATATTGTTTACAGTGTGTGAGATGTTAAAAAGCGAAAAAGAAGCATTTGTTCATACAGAAGACAAGTCCTCATTCCTGTTACCAGATTTACACACGTGTTCAGGCCTTTACATCATTACACAACACAACTAGTGCCTCCTGGCCTCTGATCGAATTCACAGGTCTCTTAGGTCAAGCTAAGTGGTTAGATCTCAGATCCTCCGCTTTCTTCCTAATCAGATCAGTAAGCTGTTGCTTTGATTTTGAGTATGAGACAGATCTTATATAAGACATGTCTCCTCATATCCAGGCTCTTGGGAACTCCTTGTCCTGTGAACCTCATCTGGGTCAACCAACAATCTTCCACTTTCATGACACACACACACACACACACACACACACCTCTCATGACACACACACACACACACACACACACACACACACACACACACACACACACACACACACACACACTGAGTGCTTTAGAAAAGCATGTGCATGCACTTTGCTGCATTGATTTATATAGAGCATGGATAACAGTCTTCGCTTCACTGCCTTTGCACAAGACTAACTATCAATATTCATCTGCGTCTGTACACCTCACTGATCTGTTAAAGGGTTATTCATTATGGCTTGTTGTAATCTGCAGACTCTTGTAATTTTAGCACGTTCAAAAAGGGAATCCTGTGGTTTAAATATAGATTTACGAATCATCTGTAAATGTGATGGGTTATTTACAGACAAAACTCCTAAATTGCTTTTGGAGAAGCGCTGATCTTCTGTTTTAGATATAATGGCTTGAGAAGTGAGCTGAGAGTGAGATTGATTACTTAATCACATCAGAATTATACTTTCAGCGATTCTCTTCAGTAAAATGGGTTTATTACTGCAGTCCAGTGACCTGCTCACCTTATCAATGTAATCTGTCTAGACCAATAACCTGAGGGGATATGGCCAGCAGAAACTACAGCTCTATTACTGTAGTCCTCACTACATACTGCACAGTATATAGCAGATTCAGAAAGAAAAAAGCTGAAAGTGACTCTGGAATTCAAAATATTGGAGCAAAATCTGCTTAAATATTTTTTTTTTATATCATTTTAATAATGTTTTTTTTTAACATTTTAACCTAGGCCTAGGTGTACATACAAAAAAATCACATATGTGTTGAGCCAGATTTAATTTGATGTAACAGTCATATTTATTTAGATAGAGAATTTATGTTATTTGAGCCATATCTTAAAATTAAGTTAATTGATATTAGGTCATACTTATTATTATTATTTTTTTGCTGTCATAAAACCAGTTAATTTTGATTAGTTATTTTTCTGCATTGTCTAACTTTTTTTTCAGTGCGTAAAATCATGACACACACATGCCATTATACATTGTACGTACATTCTCTGCTTGTGCACAGTATACTTAAATATTTTCTGCATGCCTTGAGCTACAGTGCAGCTAAACTCCTTAAACCAGCATGCATACTGATTCATCATGCTATCATTATGAATTCATACTCCAGTTTGTTCAGCTGAAGCATTCAAGCATCCATTCAATACTGATTGAGGTGCAATGTGTTTATTTATGTACTGTAGACAGTTATCTTCATTAATAAAGAAAGGCCATTGATTAAGAAGTCATTAAATGCCTCACAATCTAATTACACAGCTCTTGGATAAATAAGTCTGTTTTCTAATGATGACTGTTTCTCTCTAATGACCATCTAAATGCTTGACCATTTCAATAATCTAGTAATGATTTTTCAATAGCTTGCTGCAACATCTAAACATTCTTATCTAAAACATTTCCTTCTGAGCTTTAACGGCAATAGCAAATCAACTGAATGTGAATTTACTATATTTTTCCCCGTTGTCACTAATCACCAACTCTGTAGCCGTCTCAATGCACATGTATTTTTATGTATTTCATGTATACTCAGATTTTCTTTTTTTTATTTCCATATAGCATCTTTCTCAATTGACGACCCCATCTGTATTTTGACTAAGCAATTTTGGAAAGCATGAATCAATAATATTTTTATATAATAGTAGAAGTTTGACTATTTCACCATTATGGCTTAAAAAATTTAAATAGACTTTGACTTCACAGCTCAGGTTTGTCGCTAGTGTTTTGAACTGGGGTGTTTTTCATGATGCATTTATGGCTCAAATCAGCCTGACTGCAGAATTGAGAGCGATTTCAAATTGCCTGCTTCTTCAGAGATTCTGGTCCAGCCAAACAATTGCCATTGAGATGAATGGGTATGCTTATGGATGACTTTCTTCAAGACCTCCGTCCCATATCCTATTATATATTGCTGATGTGTGTACTTGTCCATCATATTTTCTCCAGCTCAGTAATTCTTTCTCTTACTCGCTCGCTCTCAGACTTTTCATATAGCCTCTTGGGATTTGAGAGGTTCTCCTGATATATTTTGCGGCAAAATTTTTTTTTTGAATCGAGTCTGAGATGTGTTCTAGTTCAGGACTAGTACAGACTGTCTGCTAATGCAAAAGTGAAGAATAGACCATTCAGATGTCTACAAACCTGCAAATCTTACTCATATATTTTCATCCTCTGCTATGCTGTAAACTGAGGAAACTGACCTATTTTGGTCTTTTCCACATATTCCAAAAACCTCCCCCAAATTCAGTCTCGCACTCTGAATGCCAAATGTCGTTCTTAATACAAATGAGAGTACAAAGTGAGCAATAAGTTGTAATGTTTGGAGAGTTTTCATCCGCCAAGAGCGCATGCGGTTCGCAACCTGACACGCTAATGAGCGTCAAGTGCTTGCTATTCACTCTAACAAGCGCATGGGCTCCCTGATTGAATTCCGCTGAAATGGGAGGGCGAGATACAAAGACAAAGAGCAGTTTATGTGGCTGTGGGGAGCTGGATGTTTCACTCCTGTTATGACGTACTGTCTTTCATGCAGAAAACGAGGACAGATACTCGATCCAAAGCTTTGGTGGTATGTAGGACAGGTCATAGATGAAGGGGCCAATTCCTTCAGGCTGATTCTAAACAGGTTTATAGTCAGTTCCCTTTCATGGGAACTTCGAACTGCGTCCTCTAGGGGTCGCTATGGGGAACGTCTCGTCGTGACCCGTGTCTGAAGCATACATTGATAAAACACCAACTTGTTGGCCGGTGACAGCCATGACATCACTACCGGTGCGACTATAATATAAAATAGGCACCGGGAGCACACATCATTCACTTCTTCGTCACGATCTATTCATTATTTGTTTGGGTGAAGAGCACGCACGTGATGCCTCCGAGGAGGCAATCGGCGTACACTGCGAGCGTTTTTT